TTGTGTTTATGGGGAGGGGGGGGGGGGATGGGGGATAACAAGGACGCAGTCCAGACCAGTAAATGAACGGTGCATTAGTGAGGTGCAGAAATATGCAATCTGTTTGCTGAGGAAGCACAGTGATGAGACGCTGGCGTTTTTGAACTTTGCTCATATCCCATACCTTTCGGTTGTTTTTTTCAGCACCGTCTCTGGCGATCAGCAAGCACAATATCATCTCTGGTGTTTAAATTCATGCTTATATACTGAGTGTTTGGTATCTCATGAGCTTGTTTGAATGCACTCAACAGATAAATCTCCTGCGTGGACAAGTTCTGCTGTTTTGCATCGTCAACAACCGAGCGCGGGTTCTCATCCATGAGTTTTTAAATAAACTAGTATTTTTTACACCAGTTTCATAGAAATAATAAAATTAATTCTGATTTAAAAATCAATAAAATCCTATGCTGGAATAAACCTTAATAAAATCATTTGCGAGCTGCGTCCAGTTCTGTTTTTAAATTATATTTTATATTTATTGAATTATAAAATTACTACTCACAAAAAGCTAAAAAACTCTTAGTTGCCCGTTAATTTTTTTTATTTTTATAAATAGTTTAGTTATTTTATTTTACTTTAAGAATTTGAAAAGTAAAAAAAAAAACTAGACTTCCTTAAATAAATTTTACTTTTAAAATTAATTTAATTATTTTTTTATACTTTAAAAATGTAAACAAAATCAAGTTGATAATAACTAATTGATCTTGAAAAAAATTTATTACCTCCTATAACCAAAACAGTAATCTTTGTTGAGAATATATATATATATATATATATAGATGAAACAAGCCACTGTTGAAGACCTGTTGGTGTTTTATGTCTTGCCAGATAAGGGAGCTTCCCTCGAAAATGTAGAGATAGTGAGAGCAAACTCTTCGTCAATGTACCTCTTTTCTCATTGATCAATAAATTATGTTTTATAAATATACACTCGAAAGTATGGGATTTTTACCATCAAACTTAATTACAAATCACTCTAATACAATCAGAATACCTTGAAAAAACAAGAAATACAATAAACAGACGACGACGACGACGACCACACCACACAATTGCCAATGAGCTGTAGGCTAACCGGCAAGTTTTCATCCCGTCCCCTGCAAGATCCGGTTACATTCGATTTGTGACACAAGAAAGAAACCACAGCACAGGTCTCAAATTTTTGTCCATCTCTCTTAACAGCACTCCGTAACGATGCTCTTTATCTGCAACATAAGAAGAAAGAGTAACGTTAAGCAAGAGTTCTTGATGTACGTACAAGTGTTGGATCACTTGCTACAAACTTCACGATTGGTGTTGCTATGCATCGATTTGGAGGTATTTATCCGTTTAATTACTTGGTTCCACACAGTGTTGGTAATAAATTTAGGAAAATGGAAGCCTCCTTTTACTATCCATCGACGTATATCAACAGCTCTTTTCCTGTCATGGGCCCGATTTATTTATTTATAATCTCCTTTTCTCTTATGACTGAAAGATTCATTGTCGAGTAACAAGTGGTGAGTGCTCACCGCATTACAGGAGCTTACAAAATACGTTTGCCCTCGAATAAGTTAAAATTGTCCCCTCTTGATATTTTCAGAACACAGTTTCAGAAAACCAAAACATGTTAGCACAAAGAAGCAAAAGCCCCGAGCACCCAGCAAGGATTTTCCAAAATCTGCCGAGTAATGAAGTCCAACCAAGAGTGTCCTAACTCTAGCAGAACAGATTTTATACACCCATCATAGATATGTATCGAGCAACAGGACATTAATGTTCCGGAATAATTCTGAAAAAGCAAAAAACAATGCCAAAGAAAGCCTTGCTAGAGGGATTCTTTTGTTGCAGGGAACAAATCTGAAGCAACGCAGGGAATGTTTTACCAGATATAGCAGCAGTAAGGAGAAGCCGCAATATTGCAACTTTAGTCCTATCAACACAAAATTAGAAGAACAGGTGGATTTTCATGAAAAAGCAAAGCCAGATTCCGCCTTGCACGAATCCCTGCCCTCTACGGCTCTACCTTCTGCAACTTCAATTCAACATTAACCGCTAACTATAATTTGCTGTTAATCACATGGACATCCCCCCCCCCCCCCCCCCC